CACCTATGGCACGTCAGGACAATAAAGTACGTTCTCCAAGATTCCTTCTACTCCCATGTTGCTGGCCACCTGAATGGTCCCCCTTTTCGTTGCCGCGATGTAGGTGCCGTTTTTAGCTACGGAAATCTTTATAGGCGGCTGCAACTCCTCGAAACTAGTGAAGAACACATCTTGATTTACTAGATGGTCCGATGCTCCGGAATCCAAAAGAAAGGACAGTTTTCCGCTTTCTCTTTGGTCGTGATGACCGGCCATGAAGGTCTTTTCTAACCTCTTAGGCACTACGGAACTTTACGCGGGGCTGTTTCTCGGTACGGCAGAGTTCAACGCGAATTACGTGTAAATGATACGGCACTGCAATGTGTGACGGATAATGCTGTTCTTTACACGAGTACATTGGAATGAAGTGTTTGATGATTAAATTATAATTTTTCATTAGTATTTACAAAAAATATTTATTTAAAAAATTTTTTAAAATTAAGATATGATTTTAACGCGCATTTTAACTTTAACAATTTATTCTAATAATTAATAGTACATTTCAGTATGGTACATCTTAAAACACGGTACAACACAAAGGCGTCGTACAGAAAAATACATCCGCGTAAGCCACTATAGTGCTGCGCCGTACAGAAAGATGATATCCCCGAAAGCCACTATAGTGGTGCTCAGTGCCTAAGAGGCTAAGACGTGAAAATTTTCAAAATAAAAAATTTAGAAAAAAAAGAATCTCTAGCGTCAATTAGAAGTACCTTCCAAAGAGTTGCACACAGAGTTACCAATGGGGGGGTTGGTTGAAGTAGGGTGGTCGTAAGTTGGCGGAACGTTTCGAATGGCCCAAGAAGGAACACAGAAACCTTCTTCGCTGGATTGTGGGGTCCAATCTGCATCCACACCGTGCCTGACACCGTTGCCGTTCCATTGTAGTAACTCCCAAGATGAATAGTCACGACCGTATCACCTCCTTTGGTATACTCCCCGAAGTCTGTATTGCGCGGCACTCGGACGGAAACTGACCGTGCGGTCACTCCCAACACGATATTTGTAGCCACAGCCACTATGTCATGTTTCGTATCGTAGACGACCAAATAAAGAGTGGGGGCCTGCGTATCCCTCCTACACTCTCACGCGATAGGGTCGGATCGGCATATTGCGTGCTATTCCGAGATCGTCGCACGTGACCTCCTTAGAGGTTATCCCAAAGGTTGCGACGAAGTCAAATGGTATCAGTCTTGGCGGACCGCCACGGCGGCGGCGTCTTCGCCCCATGTTTAGATATATTAGTTTGAACACTTCTTCCACAGAGTTTTAGCGATCGATCGAGCCCCCCGAACCACGACAAGGTATTCTCTCCCCGGGAGATAACCCCATAGCAGGGGGAAACCCGAAAGGATTTTTGTCCAAACCGTGTAGAACTGCTTTGCTCAGTCCTTGATCCGTGATCACAAACTTGCACAAAAAATCTTCGCACCATTCTCGGACACCGTTGAGGACTCCGACAGGTTAGTGATAGTCGGCTGGTAGAAGGCTGGTATGAGCACCGGAAGATGAAATGCGGGACCTAGCCTATGCCGGAATACGACCAGCCTACTTTTTCCGAACTGGTGAAATGGAGTCCACATCTTTTTCTAAAACGCTGTAGAGACAGCAGTCAATAACTAACCTGTAACAAAAGGCCAGATGCGCTTGTCTCTGCCACATTTTGTTCGTTGTTAGTCACTTGGACTGTGCGCACGGTCCTCTTCCTTTCCGTTTGCTGGAGGGTCCTCTTGTAATAAAAGCAATCCTTTATTTTTTGCCTCTTTCTTCCGCAGTTCCGCATTTTTTTTATAATGTGTTAGGAGGGTTTACCGCACGTAGCTGAAGCTTCTCCAACGGAAAAGGGCCCGGCTCGCACGCGTCGACGAGCGCGCCATCTATCTTACATTGACGCGGTGATTATGTACCGCCAAATTTAACATAATGTTTGGAAGAATCAAAATTATTCTTTCGCGTTTGCGATTGATTCAGTTGTTGGATGTGCAGCACTTTTGCACTCGTGCAATTCTCCGTTTTTAATTTTACCTCGTGGTCCAATAACCGTGTTTTAACCAAGGCTAACGTTAAGTTATCTTCGGACAATGTCTCGATGGCGGTGATTACACAATCGTAGCACCCAGGTAAGAATAGTAATAGGCGCGACACTTTGTCCATTTCTTCTAGTTTCGCACCAGCTGCCAATAGCTGCGTCATTAGGTTATCGAACGTTGTAAAATGTTTAATCAAAGGTGTATCACCTTGCAAATTCAATTCTTATAATTTGGTGGCAAGGCTCTTTCTCTCATATATGCTGTCTAAGCTTTTTATGATTTCGAACGCACTTTTATCCAGACTCGCAAATCCGAGAAATGAGTCGGATAAATACTCCACTATTATACCTTTAGCGACTCTTTCTGCTTTCACCCATTCGTCAGTCTTCATTTCAGGAGCTGAGTCGTCAATAAAATTGATAACGCCAAGTTCATTTAATAATGCACGAATCCTTAGCTTTTAGCGCTCAGATTAAGTGTATTGTGACCGTTTAGTCTACTCGTGCTTGATCTTGCGATCTTTCGAGCTTTGCTGATTTTGCACATTTGTGCCGACTAATTATAGGTTCGAAGGACCACTTCCGTGTATCGGAAGACTAACCGACTAAGTATTTACCGAGCGAATGGATATGTCTAGGCGTGAGCAATTTAACAATTTGTAGTGTGAAAGAGAGTCTTTCGTGTATGCTCACTTTACATGCAGTATATCATACATGCAGTAGGGGCAATAAATTGAAAGGTGTGTGAGAAATTTCAAGTCAATCGGATAGTTAGTTCCAGAGTTATCCGCACCATAAGGTTGAAAAACTGCAATTCGAGAAAAACTCGTTTGAAAACAAATTTTTCATTATTAACACATTGAGCGCCGGCGACCTGAGAGACATTTAAAGCCTGAGCGCCGGCAACGTATCGGCCACTTAAAGCCCAAACGCCGGCCTCATTCGCTTGTTTCTGATCAATGAGTAGCGAAAAAAAATATTCAAAACATTATACATTTTCGTAAAATAGTACATTTTAATTGCATATTCGCCATATACAATTTAACATAAATGAAAAATAGAATAAAGAATCAGAATCATTCATATCAGAATCTTCTGAATGTATCGAATAATCCGATAGAGAGTCAATATATTCATTAATAATTTCACTCATATTATATGGGTAAAAAGGTACAGAATAATAAGACTTGTTATACTGTTCAAGCAAAAGCGTAAGCGTACGAAAGATATGTAAACCTGCATTTCCCGAGGATGTTTTTAAAGCCATATTGCCAATTTATGGAGATCTAAGCAACGAAGATTTACTCACACGTTGCATCGGCGGATACTAATCTGGAAAATAGCTCCAAGAACAGGCTTTAAACCATTGCTATCATTTATGGCTCAATTGAGCATACAAGTTGGAGAGCGCGCAGAGGAGGACGAACGGCGGTTGCACGATGCTGATGTCGACGCAAAAAGAAGATCTAAAGAGAGCCGAATTAACAGAAGAATTGCTGAACAGCAACAGGCTGATATCGATGAAGCTTTAGAGACATCTTATTACGCTACTGGAAATTTTTAAGCGAGATACGTAGTAGTTATTGTACTCAAAAGTCTTTCGAAACTTTAAACGCGTTTTTCTTGAAATCATATTTTCTCATCATTTTGCAGCCATTGCGAAAAAACGGAGGTTCAAGTCGATTTGAAAAAAATTGAGCAAATGTAAAACATGCCTAGTTAAGGCCTGAACCTATGCATAAGTTCATAAAAACTCTTGTCTTGACAAAAATAAAATAAAATAGCTCTGTTGCTTAATAAAAAATTACGTTTTTCCCGTTTTACAGCTGCCATTTTTATAATCTTGATCTTTTTTCTTTCTAACAGGTTCAGTGCAGAATGGGGAGACCCATAGAGGGAGAATTTCACAAAGAACATTTCATAATTCTATTTTTTACGGCAAGGATCATTGCAAAACCGCAGCGGCTTCAGGCATAATGCGTACGTATTGGACGACAGTAGCATTGTTATATACATGTATATATTATTAACAAAAATTTTTTTTACGCTTTATAGTATTAATAAGTTGTAAGGCGCCGTGCGACGCGCCTAGGTAACGACTGCGAGACACGAGCCGCCAGGGGGCCCTAGACAAGGAGCAGCGCAGGCTGTACCCCCACCCCACGGCTTGCAGGGCCCTAACGGCCGAAGAGCCATACAAAAACGGGAAAAATGGCAGCGGTCCACACAATATCGTATATAGTCATCAACGAGTGAACCGACGTCAACGGTCACTCTCAAGTGTCGTCCGCACCCTTGAGTGACGCGCAGGTAATAAATCCGGGCAGCGCTTCGTCGGTAACAAACAATACCAGAGTGGAGACCAAAAACACGAGAAGTTAAAATATAACAAACAGATGTGGTCGAGAGCCATGAAAGGAAAAGCATGGAATTTCTAAATAAACGTTAAAGTGCTCGATGGTCTCCCAAACCTACAACTGCTGCGAAGGACCGAGTAATTTCCAAACCGTGCCTGGAAAACGCAATAAATACACTAGGACGACTAAACAGTGACGCTTCACTAATTTTACGATCTCACTATATCGATTTCACCGACTGTACGAGATAAGCTGTTGGCCGTCTTGTCCTGCCCTCTATTGGCTGATGTCAGCAAAGTTGCTCGGTCACAGGGATATCTTTAATTGTTAATAACTGACAAACCAAGCTTCAAACACAATTTTTTTATTTTTTATTTTCTTCTTTTGGTTTGTAGAATCACCCTTAAAATTTTTGATCAATTGTTGCTAGACACAGTATATTTTGATTGGCTATGGTATGTGGAAGTACATGTATTACTAAAAGTCCATTTAAAATTTATTTGACATAAATTTATTTAGTAAATTTCTTTAAATAGTAAATGTAGAGCAATTTTGCAATTACATTTTCTGACCGCTATAAGTATTAAATAAGAGTAAATAAGATATTTATATACAATTCATGTTCTGTAGCATTACACGTTGGATTATTATATACGTTGTATCATTTAGAATTGATAAAGGAGTTTTGCAATACATGCAACAAAGAAAGGAAAACATTAATTGCTGCATTTGCAAATAATAATTCGATGTTGCCTCACCTAGAGTTCCTTTAATTTAAGGAAAGATATATGTATAGTGTAACATTGTCATCAACTATTACATTCGGTATCTATAAAATAATGCAATATAAAGAAATTTATCAGTACGAAATAGCTATGTAGGTACAAATACAAAAGAAAATTATCGACAGAGGATAAGAAAGAATTATTATTTCAGCGATAAAAATAATCATCTTCTATTAACATCTGTAAAAATTATAAAATCTTCTTACTCTAGCTTTCTACTTTTGTTATTTTCAAATATATTCCCCCTTTCGGTGCCAGCAAGAAAGCAGTCGGATCAATTACGTATGGAATCATAGTTTTTTCACAAACTTCAACTTTATGATTACGAAGTATTTTTATAAGGCCAACTTTGGATTGATATACTGCAAATCGTGCGCCTGAAATGTATAATTTTCGTACAGTATTATCGAAATTAACATTTGTAACAAATTTATTTAAGATAGATATAAAATTTATATAGTTATAGCTATAATAAAAGCTTTAATGTATTGGGTAATGAACCTGTAAAAGAAGTAAAGCTGCATCCACATTATACAGGATGAGGCACTTAACTTGACGACTTCAAATTATGTACTCGTAAATTACTTGCTATATAAGAAAATGTCTCATTGTCAAAAAAAAGTTACACGGTATCAAAGGGGACATATAAGACACTTGTCAAAATAAATTTTCCTTCATTAATCTTTCTATAATACTTATTTCACTATTTGCATCAATTGTCCAACTTTATTAATTTTTTGTACTCAAGGTCACGTGAAGGTCATAGATTCATCTTGATCTCAGCTATTACGTAACGATGATGAAAATATATAACCCCATTTTAAAAAAAAACCTTCGATGACCTTAAAATCTAAAAAGAAAGAAGGAAAAATATTTTTTTGTCTATCATAATATTTACCCCTTCGAACTAAAAGTACAGTTTTCCTCTGTGACATTTTCTCCTATCATAAAAAATAAACGAGATATTTAACCTGCCCTAAAAGTACAGTTTTCCTCTGTGACATTTTCTCCTATCATAAAAAATAAACGAGATATTTAACGTGCCCAAATTAGATGGGACACCCTGTATAAAGTATTTAAATGTTTCACTGTGAGAAAATATGTGCAACTTATTTGCAAAGTGCAAACATACCAACGCAATTCCTCGGTCCGTCACCGAAAGGTAAATAGTGCATTGGATGTCTTTTTACAACGGCGTCATCGCTGAATCTTTCGGGGATGAAAGCGTCGGGATTTGCGTAAATATTAGGATCGCGATGAATCGCAAACAGCGGTATCCATATAAATGTTTTCGCTGGTATTGTAACCTTTGTACCATCGAAAGTATAATTACATATTGATTTCCTTATCAACATCGGTCCAGGTGGATACTTTCTTAATGTTTCTAAAAGAGTAACGTTTTAAGTGAATAATTAGCAACTGTTGGTTTAATAGCATTGCTGTACTTATATGGAATACTAATTAAATATATATATCGATATGCATAATATATTTATTAGAATCAATTTTATAAAAGTGTAATTTTTTAATTTCAACAGAATTGAAAAAGATGAACGATAGTTTTTTTTTTTATTTGTATTGATTAATCTAAAATAAGTAAAATTTATTTATTTTACCATTTAAGAATCATTGATACGCACCTCGAAATATTAGATCCAGATATGTCATATCTTTTATTCCTTCGAATTTTAGTTCACCATTATTTTGATTATAATGTCTTCTGATTTCTTCCCGTAATTTCTCTTGAATGTTGGGATTCAGAGCTAATTCATAAAGAGCGTTGCTCATCGCCGTGGAAGAAGTTTCAAATCCGGCAATGAAGAAAACGAAAGCTTGTGCAGTTAGCAGAGTATCCGTTAGCTCTGTAAAACACAATTAAAGATGAATATAAATAAATGCGTGCTGTTTCCTAAAGTTGAAATCGTACATTTCACTTTTACTTCCGTACATATTTTTTTTAATTATTCCAGTTAAACAAAGAACTCGCAATTCAATAAACTTATCTATTAAAATTTTCGCTGAAGTACAAATAAATTGTTTCTGTACTTTTCATGAACTATTTCGTGATTGGTGGTAAAGTTGTACAGGGGGAATTGAAAAGAGATCAAAATTTATGTAAGTATACTTTTATGTTTCGAAATTAATTTGAAAAAAATAGTCTTAGTATGCACAAATTGTTTACTTTTTAATCGCAGCTATTTTTGATTCAGAAATTAATTAATTAATTAATTAATTCACAAGTCTGTCTCTCGCGTAGTATAAGTAAATAAGCGTGTTTGTAATTGAGGGGCATATATCACATCTATATGTAGGGAGTTCGTAGAAAATTTAAGGGGTGATTCTAAAAGCTAATATAAGACGAAAATGAAGAATAAAAAAATTGCGTTTGAGGTTTCGTTTTTTAGTTATTAACGTTTCAAAGTATCCCTGTAGCCGAGCAACCCTCCTTACTCCGAAGAATATAGGGCACTGCAAGACGCAGGGGGTACACCGATCCATAAAATCAACGACACTTTTAAGAAGTACATAGTACCTAAATAGTCCGTTTATGTTGTTAATAAAAAAGAAGTTTTTCATTTGTTCGTTTTTTCTTAGAGGGAGGGAGAGGTGTAACTTATTCATTGATTCACCTTCGTATGTAAATGCGTAACGCGAATTTTTAGAAACGAAAAATAATATAGCATAGAAAATTTTGAAACATGAATGCTTTGTCTGCAACGAAACAAATACGAGATAGAACATGGTTATTTAGAATTACCACGAAAATCGACTGTTAAATTTTCATATTTGTCCATCAGAGAACATTCTATGTTTAAAGTGAAATAATTTTAAATGGTAAGATACTTACCGACATTTTCCAATTTATCCGGATGATTCTTAAGCTCCATAAGCATGTTGACGAAGTCAGGCCTCACGAGGTGATTTTCGTTTCTGTATTTCATTGTGTCTACGATAAGTTTCGTGAAGAACGTTGTAATCTCTGTTGGCGATGTTACGTAGCTAAGTAAACTGAAAATCCATGGAAACGCTTGTCTAAGTCGGAATTTCAAGATTTGCTTGAAACCAGTTGCGAACACCTTTTTGCCAACTCGGCGAAATTCGCTTTCCTCGTCGGATAGGGCGTTTATTTCGATGCCAAAGGCGCAGCTACCGATCACATCTGTCGTATATTTCGCTGTTAATTCCCGGCATTCTATGGGCTCTCCTTTAGCCACTACCTTATCGAGATATTGCTCTAAATGTTCGGCGCATTCTAATATCAGAGGGAACATCTCTTTCAGTTTGCCAGACGTAAATACTGGCGAGAGTCTTGTTCTTAGCGGTCGCCATCTTTCTGTCTCCAAGTTGAACAGATGTGGAGATAATGGTTCCACCTATGATTATTTCGTAAATTAATTTTTTAAATCTAAGTTAAATTTTTCTTTATTTTCTTTAACAGATGTAAGTCTTACAAGGGAAAAACCATGAAGTGAACTCTCGGATTTTTATGAAACTCTGCAGATCGATAAAGAATCGAAAGTTGTACACCCACTTTCAATTCTAGACGTAGACACTCAACAGTTTAGAAGATATTTAACAATAAGCTAACCTAACCTAACTTTTGAAATAAGCGGCCAAGTCAAGCAGGTTAGGTTATACATTTTTTTTCCTGTTTACCTTATTTCTATTTAACTTCCGTACTAAGATTTTTTAATAACCTTTTTAATAGCCCCCACTATCGGCTGTAATTCAATCTTTCTTGTTAAATATCTCATAAACTATTGAGCATTTACGCCTGGAAGTGAATATGGCCGTGGAAATTTTCATTCGTTATTGACTTGCAAAATTTCATAAAAATCTTATGAACTTTACTTAGCTTATGAATTTCACTGTCATTTTTCTTTCACTTTACGTTTCACTTTTTTTGTACATTATTCGAACGAGTAAAGCTGTATATTTTCGCTTTATCTAAATAGATAAAAATTAGCTTGATTGAAAACAGTAACATATCAGGAATCTTTAGGTGAAAAAATTATTATATAGTCGTAAAAAACTTTAAAAAATATCAACATACAGCATTCGCTAATTTACAATTAGATTATACAGTGTTTGTTGTGAAATAGTGTATTATACAGGGTGATCCACGGTTTTCCCAACAAACTGTCGTGGTTTATTTGTTAGATAGAAATACGAAAAAAAGTGTTCTACAAAGTTCTGCAATAAACGTTTTATCATAGAGTTATAAATGAATAAATGTTGTACGCCTAAAATAGCTTAGGTTAGATAACCAAACGCAATTACTAAAATGCAGCAAAATTCTCAGGAACTTCGTAGTGTAATAAATTCCATACTGTATGGATGTCAAGCTTGTATTGTACGTAGTGTTGTTCGCATGACATTTAAAAATGAGAAATTAAAAATACTAAAGCAGTGTCTTTATCGTTGCTAGACAATAAACACTGTGTGGCTACGCAGACAAGATAAACACAATCAAACTTCCGCTGAAATAGCAAATCCGTTACTCACTATTTCACGTGTATAATATTTATTTGTTTACAACTTTGTAATAAAACGTTTATTGCAAACTTCGTGTAACATTTCTTGTTTATTTTTATCCAAAGAAAAAAATCACTGCAGTTTGTCGAGAAAATCCTGGGACACCCTGTATAAGGGTGTTACCAATAATTAATACAAAACAAGCAATTATTAACGAATTGATAAGAGATATTTATCGCCTAATATAACAATGTAAATTAATAGTTTTTTAAAAAAATGAAATATAGGTTATGTAGTTAAAACGGAAACTAACTTTTTGAGTTAAAATGAAAAATAAATTACAGTGAAATTAACCCCTTGACGCTCACATTTTTCTCAACTTGATGCGCCAAAAATGAGTTTTTTTAATTATTTTCTAGGCATATGGAAATAAGTTTCCCATTATTTATAGTGCCGTAACTTATGTTTTTGCTATAATAGGAAAGATAACGTAATGTGGAATGTGAAAAAGAATAATTTAAAAAAAATTGCACTTATTGGGCAATTATAATAATTATGCACGTGTAAAACACGGGCATGAGCATTGACGAGTTAAACAATCGTTGAGTTCAACAGAGTTTAAACATTGAACAATTTCATTTTGTAATTTTAAGATTTCAAGCCTAATCAGGTGTATATCACTGTGTAAATGTATCATTTTTCTACCGAATAGAGAAAGTAGACTAGGAATCTTCAACAAGATAAATGGCAGTATTTGATTGCACAGTGTGAAAAAGTATTAAATATGTTAATCTGTTAACTGTGGAAGACGAGTTTAAGATAGCATGGTTTTCCTTGCCCCGACGTTTACCTTTTCGTCAAAGGGAATTCCTCGATCACTGAACTTCGAAAAATCTCTTATCAAAACATCTTTGATCAATTCTGGATCGCGAATAATGAGCGCTGGTGTTCTTCTCGTGAATATTCCAATCATCGGCTCATCTTTGTACTCCTGGTAAAGATCCCTCAGAATATTGCTTAACGCCGTCCTCAATAACATCGCATCTTTGATGTTACCAAACACCGGTACAGGTTTCGGACCAGGAACTCCGCGGACTTTCCAAAAATCGAAGGTCGAAGTGAAATAGTAGTAAAGCGCCGCAATTAGCGCGACGATCCCGAAAACAATTTCTAAATAGCCCGCCATTATTCCTTGGTGTTCATAATTCGACGAAGAAGAAGGAGTGGTATTGGTTCATAGAACAAAGTTTTCTGCAAAGTGTTATTATTAATTGCATTTTCTTAGTAAATGCAGTAGTTTCAAGTAATCGTAGAAACTAATTATGTATAATTGTGTAAAAACTAGATATTGATGCTAGTTAACCCTTTAATCTACAATAACGTGTCAGACTCGTGGCAGAGATTCTGGTCAAGATGTGACAAAAATAGATACGTTAGTAAAAAAAATTCATTGTAATCCTAACTTTCGTTTTAATTTGTAAAATTAAGGATTCCTAAATATAATTAACCTGCAACAGATTAGCATTTGTTACTTGATACAGTACTAAAACATTAAATGGCTGACGCTTAGATGCATAGTCAGAAAAGAAATCATATGTCAAGGGGTTAAATAACAAACTCGAGCATATATCGAGTGAACAAATGAATAATTCAAACTTTTGTAAACAGTTGAAGAATTAATTTTGAAATCAGTCGATTCTCCCGCTTTTTCTGTTATTATGCAGTGTTGGCGTGTAGCTGTTAACAAATAACGATCAGTTTGGCGTAAAACTGAACATAACCTTAAAAAATATTCGGTTCCGTAGAGTCAATAATGGCGACGGATAAAGTGCATATCCGACATTTTATTCTTTATGAATTCCAATAAAGAAAAAATGCTACAAAAGCATGTGCATTATCTAAAGACACAGCATTTTTGTGATATGATAGATGGCTTAGAGTTACGGCTTATGGCTTAACGACGAATACTTTGAACAACTTGTTGAATTCTTTTTTTAAATAATCTTCGAATTTCGCTGAAAAATTTGGATTATTCATTTGTACACCTAATATTTTCTTTCGATATTTTTTTCTTAAATATTTAAAATTTCTTTCTATATAGGGTGTTCAGTGTGTACCGGTCGCCATGATTTTCGAGACATTTCCGATAGTCTGACAATAAAATGTTATAAACAAAAATTAATCGGTGCTCGATTGTTAACAAGTTGTAAAAATATTTTTTTTTGCAATAAAAAATCGTGCTAATTTTCACTTTTTTAAATGGTATCATACGACTTTTTCTATACGATATTGTAGGTGCAAAGATACTTTTGTTCAATAATTTGTTGAGAAAATCTATTTCAATGTTACGAGGGTCCTTATGAACGCGTAAGTCAAACATTAATGTTATTCAAGAATGCTTTATCACTGAATGTAAACAATAAACAGACTTATGCGACTAAGTGTGACTTACTAAAGCCAAAGTAAGTGCTCTGATAATCTTGTCTAATCGCCGCATGTACACAACTGGCAAGTTCAAGAAGCATTTAGTAAAAATGCGATTACACATCATGAAACGTTTTGTAAAAATACAATTACATATCATGAACAAAAGATCGAACGTCAGATTTTATTTAATGATACGTGTATATTTTTTATCTATAGAATAATGGAGCGTGACGGGACGTGTTTAACGATCTCATATGTTGCATAAGTTTATTGAAAAATGCGAAAATTAACTTTAATATCTAGAAATTAACTTTAATGACGCCGTATTGGCGTCAACGTATTGAATCTAAGTTCGAAAACCGGTTCTGTTGAAACATTTATGACACGTTTTATGCATCTGTGCTGCAACGATGTAATCATTGTATTGCAAACAGAGGAAGGCACTTTGAGTACTTAGTGTAGGTCAGTGATCGATATGTTTTCACATTGTACACAACTATCTATTTGTAATAAAGAAATGGAAGTGAAAACAGAAATATTTGAGACATAAGTGCACTTTTGTCACGTGATTTATGACCCACCCTGTATACACAGAGCGTTCGTCTATTTCTGGGAGAAAATTTAAGGGATGATTCTAGAAGTCAAAATAAAGAGAAAATCAAGAATAAAAAAATTGCGTTTGAGGCTTCGTTTTTCAGTTATTGACGTTTAAAAATATCCCTTTAGCCGGGCAAACCTCCCTACACCAAAGAATATAGGGCACGTCAAGACACAGGGGTTACAGTAATATCCAAAACCAACGACACGTGACCTGTAGGGAGGTTTACTCGGCTACACGGATATTTTTAAACGTTAATTACGAGGTACACTGTACCCCTTCACCTCTTTTAATTTCCCAAAAACAAGTTTTTCAATTCAACAATATAAGCATTTATTGATGAAAACAGGCCACCCTGTATATTTATACATTAATATACATCAATTGAAAATATTTCAAAAATAAAAGGTATTCTTTAATTCCTAGTTAAAGAAGGCTCGCGCTAGACCTTTCTTCATCCTTCCAACTTAACGGATCTTCTGTTCTACTTCCGTAACCTTGCGCAGGTCAGTAACCTGTCGTAACTGTGGCAATCAGGGCGGGCGAGTTGGATTTAAATTAGCAAGTGCAAAAAGCAAAAGCGTTAAATATTTTGCAATATAAAACAGCAGGAACGGGAAAAGGTAAGAAGAAGGAGAAAATTTTAAATGTGTTGCTGTTTAAAATAATCAAATTTTCAAGAATTTCTGCACGGTTTACTAAAATATTTGTTAGAAGCTAAGTTATAAGTTATGATCACTATTACAAATCATTAATAATATTATCATACTAACAATTGTCATATTGATAATAATATCAAAATTAATAATACGTTAGTCTATCAAATATAAACTTACAAGTGACAAAAATGTCAATCTAATACCTATTCAGTTCGATAATGGCAGAATCAAAATCTGAAGTGTATAAATGGTAAAAATTGTTTAACGGAATCCCGTAAAAAATTAAAATTTTGTTTCATGCTTGTCAACGAAAGATTAAAGATGGAAGATTTCGTACGTAATTGGATTCGTATTTGCTTCAAAACTTCTTATAAAATTGGAATCGAAAGTTTACCTTTTTGTGGTAAAAGTATATGTACATAACAGAGTCAAAAAGTTAGTTGCATTCGTCTATAAGAGATACATATATGTATATCGACGAAAGTCAGTCGCAACATTGCTTACACTTCCTTTCTGAAGTTATATTAATATTTACGACGTGGAAGAAACACTTTGTTTGTTATTAGTGGCAAAAATGTCACGTCAGTTGTAAATAGCTATGGAGGATCCTTTCCCCGGCCATAATTATAATTAATCTTAAGACGAAATAAATATGTCCGTTCAACTGAACAGTCTTCGTATTTCTACATTATACAATAAATTAATAATAACAATTTACATAGAAACGAACAAAAGGACCAACGAAGTACTAAATTCAAACTTTTAAAAAAACGCGCGCGCAACTGAGACGCAGGTGCGAACCGAAAACACTAAATGGCGTCCAAATTGGAAGTCCGCATAGTGACTCGTTTTTGTGGGCAAAAAACTGTAACGCCGCTAAAATTCATCGCCAGTTGAGCGAAGCGTACGGTGAAAATGCAATATCGCGTCAAGCGATTGTAAAATATTGCACTTTCTTCGAGAATGAGCGCACGAAGACGATTACCGGCAGAAAAGACCAATTTCGACGACGAATGACTATGAACGGAAATTTTTCGAAGAAGTATTCACTCTATTTTCGACGAAATATTACGAAACATATTTGAATCAATTTACGTAGAAAATTAGCTCTTACATTGTACCTTCAAATGAATAACAAAGTAAGTCCAAAGACGTATATTGAAATGTTAACGGACGCTATATAGAAAAATAATTTTCTCTTAGTTCACGTATATGTATTGATCTGATAAGGATTTCTGAGAACTGTTTCATTTATATTTGATTGATCACCGTTCCATGATATTAGATATCCAATATCTCTTTAATCTCTTATATTCCATTCATGCTTCTATCTTGACCTGAAGTGTGAATCTCTAACTATAGTGAACAAGACACTTTACTGCGTGTAATAATAGCTAATTAGATGTTGTGTCATATGTCATTAATTCGGTTAAATTATATAAACGAGGCAAAGAAAAATTTGATAGAAGTTCAACTAACTTTATTCTGCTGTATAAAATAAAGATATAAAAATAGTCGGATATTGTTCTATTGAATAAAAGAAATTTATTAATAATTTAATATTTGTGAATTGCTTGCATTATGATTACATGATTTTATTTACACAGAAGAAGCGCTAATTAATAAATGAAAATATGCAATAATTTATGCTTAAAAATAAACTAAATGCTATAGAAATATTAGAAATTAAAATATAATGCTGCATCACATTCCCTTTTGAGTAACCAAAAGCTAATTGAGTTCATATTCAAAACAATTTTCCATGCTCTAAGAGTACTATTCTCATATAAATTTATTAGTGTAAAAATGAATTATTTCATTTAAAGCATCTAAAGAAAATACACAATATTGAAATTTGAACGATCTGTTTAAACGAAGAATAAAAAGCAGTTTATGTAAAGAATAAATATCATAAATGATATGACTAGCAAGCCGATGTAATATGTGTACTAAAACCGATCATTAAACTGACACGTACCTACACACTGAACTGTCGCTATTCAGATGAAATTGCACGTCAAGGTCAGCAAGGCACAACGACACATAGTTCACACAGTCAGAAGAACTACTTATTCTAGCCAGTTAGTATGTACACTGTATAACTATTTTATTTACGTTAAGCACGTGACGAAACGCGAAATGCTTACAGATGTGTTGTTCTTGGAAAATAACGACACTCCTCTTGGCACGGCTTCCAACAGACTACTGTAGTATCTTTCTAACAGAATGCGTGTGTATATCAACTCTGACATACACATGAAAGACTCAGTCACAATGAGTTGCACGAATCATAGTTCCAAGAAACAATTATATTTGCGGCAAAGATAAGAAATAGATAATAAAAGAAACTGCAATGTTTTATGCAGCGGACGAGGTGTAGAATAGTCCTATCATCTAATATATTTTTTATCCCACGACGCGGGGGCTCTAGAGCCCGCTTACCATTCTTATGTCGTTTCCAATGTTACCGATTCAGCATAGAATAAAATTACGTTGGGAGTGGTTGGAATTAGAACTAAATGTAACAACGAAATTACAAATAAAGTATAGGACAGAATATCTTATAATCATGTACAAAGTATAGAATTCTATACTTTTAAATTAATAACATATAAGTACATTAGGTTGATCGGAAAGTTCTATCGTTTTATTTTCAAAGAAAGTAAACCAAGGTTTCTTCCAATACTATAAATCGTTTCCGTACTTATTATCTAACAAATCGTTTGATTGGTTCCTAGCTCATTAAGAACGAGTGGTTTTACATGTTGGCAATATTTATTTAGTGAGCGTCACTAAGTAGTAATCCGTGGGGAAGTATGATCAGTAGACAGTCTGAATTTGGCGCGTCTAAGTCCATGTCATGTGGAGTCATCTAACATATGGCCGTGTTCATATGGTACGGTAGCATTACAAATAAAGATCATTTTTTGTAGCTTTCGTCTGCCTAAATTCTGACGTCACAAAAATCATCGTTATGTTACTTCATTTTAATAACAAGGAACAAACTTTTTTTTTGTTTTTAATTAAGTTTAAAAATTTGAATTTTGGTTCTTTAAATAAGATACTCCACAGTGTGCCACGTAAAAGGAATTTCTATAAAAATGATGACACACATACTTTTTTTCAATTCTATGTTAAACATTTCCACCCAATCATCTAAATCGCAGTTAATTGTAAACGAATGAAAATTAATGTTCTGCATTACATTACGATTGTATTAGTGAAATATCTGTGTGACTCAGCAATAACTCTGGTACAGGATTCTGAGTTGCAGTACTCAAAGGGTTAAACCGCAGATAAAATAAGCGCACTTTTTATAATGCGTTTTAGGTTAATCATACTCCACTGTTTACGATAAACTTTACTTTAATAAACAAATAAAATAAATGAAAAAGAAATAAATTATTTACTAAAAAGTAAAACACGATGACAGTTTTAATGTATGCAATATGAAATATATTACCTGGATACAAGCTTTCCCGCGCAGAAATTCCTACTCCTTATATCACACTTATGTGACACGTGCAACGGAATTCAAGGGACTCGAAATATTGTCTCTTTCGCTATTTTCCCATCACTAATAACACAGCGCAAGTTCGAATCGATACAATAAATGCCAACGGGTTTCTAAAGTCGCTGGAACGTGTGATAAAAAAATGTGTACCTCGTCTGTGATTCGAATGTAGTGTTTTATAAAATTTAGTCAATTTAAATATGTTTATTAAGATTAGGAGGGAGTGTCGGCTTATGAATGAATTATTTGTGTTTGGGAGATAAACATTCTATAGAATTATGACGTGCAAAATTTATTGTAATATATATAAATAGGTGTAGTAATAGTACAAAATATTATAATGCAATTAGTAATATAGAGAATGTGTAATACTAAACAAAGAAAAAACAATAAATAATAATGCAAATGTAGTAGATTGATAGACAAAGTGTAGTTTAAAGCAACATTATAAAATTTGAGGTTGGGTTAAACTTCAAGGATCGTTTTCGTATAAATTGTTCTATCACGCAAAATAAATGAAACATTACTTCGTTATTTTTCGTATTTGTTACAACAAAAAACATTTCTTAATAGTAAAATATTAGAAACAATTCCTACAAGAACTCATAGTTTAGTCAACACTTTGAAATTACACAAATACATATCTATTGCTGTACAAGGTATTTTATAAGATTTTAAATATCATATGTTACAAAGGTTATTTACACATGTATTTATATGCATATTTTGTAAAACAATTCGACTATAGATAGTAGAACAACATAAAAAATATTTGCAAAAGAATAAAGTTCACAACAGTGATAATAGCAGTGTGTTTATTGATCAATTTAATATAACAAGTTAAAATAAAAATGAAACTGTACTGGAAATATGGCATAGTACAACAGCAACAGTGCATTGTTAATAAATATTTACATTGAACTTAATAATTAAAATTAACTCTTATTTAATAATGTTTCTAATTGTGTAACAGAAGAAACACTTTATGTGACAATAGTTGTAAATATGAGATATTTATTACATATGAAATATTGTTTTCATTGAAAGATGATGCATTATGTTATTTTTATAGGGTACCAGTTAATGAATGCTCAATCAAATTCTTATTTCAATATGACTTGTACATCATATATTAAGTAAAGTTAGATTTAAAACCTATTTCACAAAATTGGGATACTTCTGTTTTAAAGTAGAAAATTCAATTTATGTAGTTTGTAAGACTATTTCTGTTTGAGCAAATTCTGATTGATTGCAATATACTTGTATTGTGGTTGATAATTAAAAGTTCAAGGTCAGTCTTCCAGCATAATGTATTTGAAGTAAAAAATATCCATATACATACATTCATGCAACTATAAAGTTTTCGAAAGCTTGTTTTTTAAATTAATGTTTGTAAATATATAAAGTACTTCAGTAGTATTATGTTTCAATAGTATTAACTTTACTTATTTTCAAATGAATTCCTCCTTTTGGAGACAGTGTAAAGGCTATTGGATTACATTCATATGGAATTAATGTTTTTTCGCAAACATCGACTTTGAAGTTCTGTAACATCTTTATCAAACCCACTTTGGTTTGATAAATTGCAAAACGTGCTCCTGGAATAATAGTATTGAAAATAAAAACACTTATTTGTGTTAAAACATCCAAAATATAAATAATTCATCATAATATCGAGTTCTAATTTCTATTACAGTACAAATTTCAATATTTTATGTAGGACATAAAAACCTATTTAGGTTCTTGTAAAAGATAAGAAGATTATTTAAAAATATTTTAATATTTTTCTTTGTATTACCGATACAATTTCTTGGTCCATCACCAAAAGGCAGATAAGCCATAGGATGTCTTGCAGCTACTGCTTCCTCACTAAATCTTTCAGGGTTGAAAACTTCTGGATTTGGATAGATATTAGGATCCTTGTGAATTGCATACAGTGGAATAAACACTGCAGTACCTTTAGGAATTGATACTTTTGTATTTTTGAAGGTGTAATTAGTGTTGCATTTCCTTCTTAACTGTGTCCCTGGTGGGTACTTCCTTAGTGTTTCTGTTGAAATGGAAATAAATATAATTTCATAGACATTTTAAGAAATGAATTATAGTTATAGTTCCAAAGAATTTAGAATTCTACAATTTGAGTTTAGTTTTATAAATAGATTAGTATTTTTTCATATAGAAATTTTTAGATTTTTGGGATATGGAAATTTATCACATTCAATATCTTGCGAATTAGTATTAAGTTTAAAAGCTAATATTAAGTACTTCTTAGAAAAATCCATTTGTTTAAAAGATAATACATTTATAAAGATAAATGCTTTTTTATTCATTTTTCTTGTAAAATGTTAAGTCATTTTCTTCTAAATGGATAGATATAAATTTTTAACCAAAATATAAACTACAGATTAGTTGGAATTTTGACTTTCCATTATAATAGAAAATTATCATATTCGTAATATATTCATGTTCTGCACAAATGCAGCATTGGATCAATTGTGATTATGAAAGTTATAAACTTTTACAATTTTTTAAACAATTAAGCTATTAAGCAACTGAACAACTAGAATTTTTATGTTTAATAATCACCTTTAAATACTTTGTCTAAATATTTCATTTCTTTGATGTCTTCATACTTCAAACAACCATTATTTTTGGCACTGAACTCTCTCAGTTCTTCTCGTAGCTTGTCCTGTATTTCCGGGTTCAGAGCCATTTCGTAAAGAGCATGAGCAATTGTTGTTGAAGACGTTTCAAAGCCAGCCGCGAAAAAAACGAAAGCTTGTGCAGCGAGAAAGGTATCTGACCATTCTACAAAATGTCATAAAATTTATTAAACTAATTTCTAATAAATTATCCTTTTTGGTTTTTAAATTTATGGTCGAATATTAAGGTGTTAAGTTCTTTTTTCTAAAACTTTTCAATAGGTAGATATTTGAATTCTTAAACAAATTTTTTGTACATGCAAGTTTGACGATGTTTGGAGAAGATAAGCTCGTCCAAGACGGTCATCAATGTTGTATGAAACACGAAAGAATAAACGTCGTGAAATTTAAAACTTAGACTTTCTATATTTTAGAACCTTAGAAACACTTCTCCTTTAGACATAACCCTTTGTAGGCAATCTGGATCTTTGACCATATTCTCATATTTCTTCGAAATGTATCTTGATTTTTCTTGAAAAAAAGCTTTGAACATTTGACTTAATGAACAATTGTATAATGTAGCAGAGACTTTGATAAGTACTCCAGAATCTTTTCAGATTTCTTGAAAGCTTAAAACAGTAAAAAAAAATTAGACTTGGACATAAACAATCCAGTTTACCTACAGAGGGTTAAGTATAAACGTTCATTCTAATAGTTTTATTTAGAACAAGATACAGTGTAAAAGTAATACAAATATCAAATTGAAACTATACTAAAAAAGTTTAAGTAAGGTACCCAATCAATTTATTGATAGTTATTTATAATAATGTTAATATTAGCGAAGTAATAGTTCTTTATACAAGTAAGATAGGGACTGATATGACTCGCGAAATAACTTGATATGTTATCTTCACTGTAAATCCAACTTCCGTCCTATTTAACACGATTATAAAAATATGTATATTTACACATACAAGGTGGTCCACCTAACGTCTCTACCTCAATTACTTTCGTTATCAGTGTTTTATAGTGGTTCGACCAAAGTTTTCTCCGATGATCTTAGGTTTTTCCTGCCTTTTTTTTTTAAATAATTTTCTAAAGAGACGTTCACTTATTTTATGTATAACCCTAGTTTCTTTTGCTTATTAGTTAGCGGGCATTGAGACGAATTCAACGACCTTAGCATAATACATTTTTCTTATACATATAAAAATCGAGCGTTACTTTGGAAACTTATTTATAAAAAAGATAGAAAAAATTTAGGATCATCACCTTGAAGATCCCATGAAACCATATTTTTTATGACAAAAGGAATTTTAATTAGTCCACTAATAATGAAAACAATTGGAGTGATCACAATAGACGGGCCACCCGGTGTGTCTTAATTCTAACTGTCTGACAAGAAT